ACATGAGGCTTAGAAGCAGCGAGATTCCAAGTGCAGAGCGATTGAGAAAGAGAGCAGGTAAGCGTTCTGGGTTCATGCCTCTCTCCGATTTCGTTGCGGTCAGGCATCTGTATACAGCCTCCTCTGACAAATCAACGTTCTCGAGCATCCGCAGCCCCTGGGGGCACAGGACCGAGTTCGGAACCGGTAGTCGAGTACCCCCACACAGATACGTTTCCTCGATGACGTCGCACAGAAGGTCAGCTTTGGGTTTGTCGTCCGTGATCCCCTCACCACAGACATCAATCAGAACTGCGTGATCATCTTTGGTTTTCGTCCCAGAGGCCATATATTTGAGGAATCTCGGAGCATTCCTTGAGTCCACAATCTTCGTCTCTGGTAGATATCTTTGTCGCGTGAGGCAGCGTTCGAGTCGCTTGCGCAGTCGTTTCATCCCGGCGACATCCGGAGCCGCGCATCCGTTACGTGCGCTCTCCAGACGCTGAATGCATTGAGCAATCGGACGGTCGTTCCTCATGTTTTTGAGAGGGACGTGAGTGTCGACCACGAAGTAAAGGTATTCCGTCAGTGTGTTGTACATGTCGTCAAGCGCCACAGAGTCTTGGAAAATCTGTTGCCAATTGGTTGCGAACAACGTCGTGCTTATCGCCTCGTAGTCCGCGCTCGAAATCATGTCCGTTGCGCACAGGGCTACCTTTGACAACACCGTCAAAGGAGAACATGATGCCCAAATGATCAGACTCCAATGGGTCAGCCACAACGTCATCGAAATCCAACACTCCGTCTGCGCTTAGAACGAGATCAATCAGAGCACCGCTGGCCGGCCGGGTTATCTCCGTCACCAGCTGCTTCAGGCCGTTCGAGATGCAGAAATCAAGAAGTATCCTTTCCTTGGAATGACCACCCGCGAGGCGTCCTCCTTCAGACCAGTCCATGAGGGGACAATAAAAGTCACCAATGATTATCAATTATCACAGAGCTCGACGTAGAGAGCAGTCGCTCCATATCCTCCCTGAGTAGACACATTTTTGCAGCATCATCATGGTAAGCCTCGGTACCCGGGGCGTACGCGAGGATCAAGCGTGTCGGTTCATCATTTTGAAGAATTGTTATCCGGTCAAGCTCCAAATTATCTCGGACGCGACAGGTGCTCTACCTGCCACCACAACGAGCTCTGACGCTCTAATCAAGTCCTGCTCAGCTCAGAGCGACAAGGCTGCGACATGGAACATCTATCGATAGAGACAAAGGAACTCTGTACTTATAATACCAGAGGCATCGTCGTACCGCGAGCATATTAGATACGCATATGAAGGAACCGGCCGAGTACTTCTGCAATCTTCGCGACTTGGCTACCTGAACCTCTACCCTCGAACGATCCCGACTATAGGAGGCTGCCGGTTCCCATCATCATCATCGACGAACATGAACGAAATTCATGGCGGTATGGGCTTCCGTGTCTCATGACGAGAAGCGAGGAGAGAAAAACTCCCGCTGCGAAAGAAAAGGCTTAGGTCAATGCAATCATATACGGATCCATCGTCCCAGAGTTTTCTCCTGTAATTTCCTTGGTGTTCCGCTCCTACTTCCCCGCAGTCGGTAATGGGCGTATCTCGCATTTAGCGGGTCGAATGGCGGCTAAGCAATGTCGGGCCAGCTCCACGGAGCTTCGACCACGGCATCAGAATCGCACTCACACTCCGCAAAAAAGTTATCAAGTTAATCCAATGAATCTATTTCGCCCGACGTCGACGATATCGGACGGGATACTGACTCTGTGAGACGATTCCGTCAACTCGGCTAAGGTTTGGATCGAATTTCGTTGGGATTGCCGCAGATTAGGTACAGTGAACTCAGCTCAATCGGACCGTCGCTCCGCTTGTGAGGATTGAGCCATCGTCGTCAGCCAGGTGTATCCTCCTTGAAAGAAGTCGAATCGACACCATGCAAAAGGCTCAGGGGCTGGATCGCCCTCGTCTACCGTCCCGCGAAATGGGCAAGTGTGTGGAGAACGCATCGTGAGGGCATGATAAAGAAAATCGGGAAGAATAAGGGTTTCATGCAACATGTTTGTATCCCCCCATTTTCCCGATCGTCTCCATCTAGGTATATTGAAAACAGGATTCCAGGTCAGGAAACATTGCGCCGACTTCTCATCCACACACCGGATGACGCTCCGAGCTCTTTGCTTTGGATACCATCTTCAATTGGGGTAATCGGATCGATCGGATGCCTCGCCTAATGGGGCCAAAGTTGCCGTTCCCGACGGGATCCGATTAAGCGGGGTCACGGTATTTGTTTCCAGGAGAGAAGCGAGGTTTCCTGCGTGGAGTCAAAATAAACTCCGAATCGGATCGAAAACACGCACTGCCGGCGCGTCCGGAACTTCGGAACCGGTTCGTGGACATGAGCACAGAAATAAAATCTGGGTCTCAATGAAGTGGATGGAGGATCTTTTATCATGGGACTAGCGCTCCCGGTCGCCGCTTCGCGGCGACTCGGTATCGCTAGACTCACTACACATGCGCTAGCTCCGAGTGCGCCAGCTCCGGGTGCGCTGGCTCCGGGTGCGCTTGCTTTGGGCGCGCGTGCTCTGGGTGCGCGTCCCGTTTCCCTGCTTTCCCGTTTCCCTGCTTTCCCGTTTCCCTGCTTTCCCGTTTCCCTGCTTTCCCGTTTCCCCGCTTCCCCGTTTCCCCACTTCCCGTTTCCCTACTCTCCCGTCTCCCCACTCCCCCGTGTCCCCGCTTTTCCGTTTCCCCACTTTCCCGTACCCTCGCTTTTATTCCATATGTTCTCCGGAAAATCTATACCCTTCAAGGCTACAGCAATTTTCAGCGAGATTCATTAGTAGAGACAGAGGCCAATGATGACGGTCACCCCCGATAGCCTTCTTAGGAGCTCCCGAGAATCCGCCCCCTCATAGTGGTTCAGCCGATAAAAAATCCTGAGAATTCCCGTCTTTCCCTTGATGAAATCTTTGATTCTCGGTGAGAGGACAGCTCAAATAATTTTCTCATGGTGGGAGGACCCATCACATGAGAACGACGACCCTGATATGACCTTCCTGAAGCCCCCGAGTGCCCACCCCTGAGTTTTTGCGGCGATCGGTTCAGGCGTTTGTGAATTTCGCGAATTTCGGATTTTTCAATTCTTTTCCGAGTTCTCGTATTCTCGTGGGTGGAGCACTCAAATAATTTTTTTAAGGTAGAAGGACTCATTGCATCGAAGAACTGACCCCCCTATAACCACCGGGGGATCGCCCAGAACACGCTCCTAAGTTTTCACGACGATCGGTTCAGCCGTTTTCGAGTCTATAGGTGACACCAGACAAACAGACAGACTGACAGACAGACAGACAGACAGACAGACAGACAGACAGACAGACAGACAGACAGACAAACAGACAAACAGACATACGTTTTTATATATATAGATTTCCTCCGGAAAATCTTTACCCTTCACGGCTACAGCGATTTTCAGCGAGATTCATTAGTAGAAAGACAGAGGCCAATGATGACGGCAACCCCCGATAGCCTTCTTAGGAGCTCCCGAGAATCCGCCCCCTCATAGTGCTCCAGCCGTTGAAAGTCCTGCGAATTCCCGTCTTTCTCTTTATGAAATCTTTGATTCTCGATGAGAGGACCACTCAAATAATTTTTTCATGGAGGGAAGACCCATCACATGAGAACGACGACCCTCATATGACTTTCCTGAAGCTCCCAGGAACCCACCCCTGAATTTTTGCGGCGATCGGTTCAGGCGTTTGTGAATTTTGCGAATTTCGGATTTTTCTATTTTTTTCCGAGTTTTCGTATTTTCGTCACTGGAGCACTCAAATAATTTTTTAAGGTAGAAGGACTCATTGCATCGAAGAACTGACCCCCCTATAACCACCGGGGGATCGCCCAGAACACCCTCCTAAATTTTCACGACGATCGGTTCAGCCGTTTTCGAGTCTATAGGTGACACCAGACAAACAGACAGACAAACAGACATACGTTTTTATATATATAGATAGAAGATAGATGTCCTCCGGAAAATCGAAGTCCCGTCTTTCCCTTGATGAAATCTTTGATTCTCGGTGAGAGGACCACTCAAATCATTTTTTTATGGGGGGAGGACCCATAACATGAGAACGACGACCCTCAGATGACCTTCCTGGAGCTCCCGGGAACCCACCCCTGAATTTTTGCGGCGATCGGTTCAGGCGTTAGTGAATTTTGCGAATTTCAGTATTTTTCAATTTTTTTCCGAGTTTTCGTATTTTCGTGGGTGGAGCACTCAAATAATTTTTTTAAGGTAGAAGGACTCATCGCATCGGAGAACTGACCCCCCTATAACCACCGCTGGATCCCACAGAACACGCTCACAAATCACGACGATCGGTTCGGCCGTTTTCGAGTCTATAGGGTACCCCGGACATACAGACAGACAGACAGACAAACAGACATACGTTTTTATATATATAGATGCTCGAATGGCCCTTGTACCGCGTCAATGCGGGAGAAAATTGCTGGGTTTAGGGAGTAGCTGCGGTTGTCCCATACCGCTGTAGAGAGGAGATCGGCTGCATCGTTCAAGGAGCCGGGGATATGGGAGGCCCTACGGTAGATGTCCCGCTCGGAGGCCCTGGCCCAGAGAAGTCGAGAAAAGTGATTCAGTGAGGGAGAGTGGATGGAGCCGAAATTGTTGATACTATGCATGGCATTGGTGCTGTCTGCGCCAGTGGCGGATCCAGGATTTTTTTCGGGAGGGGCGGTCAATGTATTTT